TCTGTCCCTTCTTTGACCCAGGCATTGTTGAACTTGACCCAATTCCAAAAAGTTCCAGATATTGCTTGTTCAAAGAGGACTTGACCGGCACCAGGAAAAATGAACGGCGACTATCCAAACTTTCACCAACTGTTTCAATCCGCCAGATCTGTTTCCATCGTCAGAAACTGTCAATCACGTCTCATAAACCGTTAATGCCCAGCTCTCGCTACGCTCGGGCCCACGCTGTTCTTCGAAGATTTCAGAAACGCTTAGTTATAACGGACGCAAAAACCAAAACACCGATCTGCCGCTTGATATTTGTTTATTGTTACACCAACATATAAAAGGAATAAGCGAACTAAGGGTCTGAAAACAAATATTACAATAATAAATCTCTGTATTACTTCTGACGATGTTTCACTCTTCTTTCTGAACAGCGACCGATGAGACGATGACTGTCGTATTGATGCCTCCGCGAAAATTGGGGAAGTTGATTTTGAGCAAACAACCAAGAATTGATCGTTCAATCTTCAACTCCATTGACACTCCCCGGCAAAAAAGGGATCCAACCCTTTTTTCCTTCACGACCAATGCACGTTGACTTGGATGCCATTGCGAGAACCTGGGTCACACGGACAGAGCTGAAATGGAAAACAAACAGAAAAGCCAACACACCACAAGCATACCCACAGCACAATCTCACACATCAATGACGACCTGCGCCTCCAGACAGAGACCTCCTCTTGACATCTTGCAACACAATCGCCATTTGCTAGAATGACTCTTGCAGAATGCAAAGTGACCATGGCAGCACCTCACGATACTCTACGCACATCCTCTTAATTACTCACTACCAATTACCATTGAAATCGCTTGTCACTCATTCTGCCTCAGTTCTAGTAGCGGTGACGCATGCGAGCCTCAGTCGTTTACACTCTTTCTCCCCGGCGTGTCGGACCGCAGCTAACAATTATCTCCGTGTGCATTTCATTCTCAGCAATAGCCTAGCCTCCCCGGCGTATACGACCCATCTGCTGTCTCTAACATCAATCAATTCATTCATGGATGTAGAAGACTCGAAACAACTTCAGAAGTAATCACGACGAAAATTTTAACAAAATTATGCAATAAAAACAAGGCACGAAAACAACGAGTAAACACAACTGATCCAAAATCACAAATTGCGAAGACACACCACACGTATACACAAACAGTACAAATAACCTCGCGGATCATGTCTTGGTGGAATTATTTTGAAGAATTGGAGGACTTACACCAGTACGCCTGCAACCCTTCACAGGTTGACGATTGTAAGTTGTGGAATGTCCAGACACAAACAAGATTAACCAACAATTACATCAATTGGAACTCACACAACTATTTAACACAAACATATGTACAATCAACACATCAAATGTTGTGGATTCTGACACGACAAACTACCCTTGAAGAACCGTAGGACTTACAGCAGTACGCCTACATTCCTTCTCAGGTTGATGATCCAAGTGGAAGTCGTCCGGACACAAACAGAATTACCAACAGCTAGATGACAGATGATATCAATTCAGTATATACAATATGAACATATGTACAAGATCATACACCAAGCACATTGGACTGCTCATTGATGCGCTACCCTTTGAAGAACTGTAGGACTTACACCAGTACGCCTACAACCCTTCTCAGGTTGACGCCCTAGGTTGGAAAATCGTCGCAGAGTTCATTTGCTAACTTCCTTCTATCAGCTATATCCTCAAATCTGAACGGCAACACGCCCATGTCATTGTATCGTAGAATATAGATGACCAACAAACACACGACATATCTCATCAACCAAGTATAGAAACAGAGTAATTTACACCAAAGATAATAACATTCAAATAGTAACTTGAAACTAGAAATGCCTTTATTCGTGCAAGTCAATTTAACAATAACTCTCTCCTTTACACTTGGCTTATCCACACTAAACTGACCATTGATATTCGTCCTTTCAAACGAACTGATACTACCATAGTCATTGCACAAGATACTTGAGTTGATGGGTGTCTGTTTCATTGTGGATGACAGCACCAACGATGACTGAGTGACACAAGGTGATGAACTTAGTGGTGGATCAGAAGCTGTTCTTGTTCGGCTCTCAGATAGTTGTCCAACTGCAAGATTACCACCACTGCTGTCTTTCACTACTAGTTCGGGTTTAGCACTATCATCTGATGATAGGTGGGCTACACGCTGATCAATTACACTGACTGTCTCACAAGTATGCACACCTTCTGGAACTGCATCTGCGTTCAATTCTACTTCACGTTGTAGTTGTACAGAACCTTTATTTAACTTAGCAGTAGTAGGCATATCCCTCATCTCATCATGATCAACCAAAGACAAATGTGCACTATCATGATCATTACCACAAATATTCAATTTACCGTCAAGTTCATCATTTTCAAACTCTTTAATAACAGAAGTAGACAATTTTGGTTCCTCCTCACAAATCATTAAAGGTTTTATATCTTCACTCTGACTAGTAATACCTTGTAAACTTGTAGGGTCAGAACTGCACTCTGAAGCAATAACTCTATTCTGTGACACTCTATTCAACAATGGCTTACCAGTTGCAACTACAGACTTCTTCACAGCACCGTTATCGTCACACAATTCGGAGTCAGGTCTGGAGTTTACATTTAGCTTATCACTGAACTTGCTCACCGGTTCACAGTTCACTTCTGTATGCACCTCTTGCACACGTGTAAACCACAACCGTGTTTGTCTTGCATCTTGTAACCTATCAGTTGAGGATGTACTACGAAACCTGTTACACTCACTAGGTCTATATGCATTACTAGACATCATGGAGCCTTCTCGATAACCACCTCTCTGAGGCCTACTCGTCATCAATGATTGCATTTTGATCTCAGACTGCTCTATTCTAGGGGTGAGATGTAATAGACTGGCGAACTTGCTCATAGATTGATTGACACTAGTATTTACCAGTTTCAGGATATCATCAAACTTTGGCTCGATACCCTCATCCTCCATACGGGAGCTCATCTTCACCCACTTCCTTTGCAGTCGAGTAGGTAGACGTCTTGCTATTACTTCTAGTATAAAACTCGAGTTGAGGTCACTCATTCGATTCATCGAAATCATTCCATTCTTGTAAATTAGCAAATTATCTAAAAACTCAGTGAGTGCCTGGGAGTCATCCTGTAATTGACCACCATTACCCTTAACAGCCTCGAATAATTTCCCTGCAATCATCGAAGGTCTTCCAAACCTTTGACGTAATATGCTCATAGCCTCGTAGTAGCCCTCTTTTGGCTTCATAAACTTACAACACTGTATAGCTCTTGAAGCATCTCCAGTGCAATATCTCATCAAATACATTAACTTCAATTCATCATTTAATAAAAAACCACTCAACATGATCTCAAACTCCTTTACAAATTGTAAATAATCAGCCGGGTTTCCATCAAAACACCGTGGTTCAAATTTAGGGAGTTTGATGTTCCTATTATCCCTGAACGGCGAAACAGTAACATCAACCATGTCATACTTAACATCAGACACATCGTTACAATTAACAGACAAGTCACCATGACTTACTTTCCTGTTTGCATCCAAGACACTCTGTCCCTTCTTTGACCCAGGCATTGTTGAACTTGACCCAATTCCAAAAAGTTCCAGATATTGCTTGTTCAAAGAGGACTTGACCGGCACCAGGAAAAATGAACGGCGACTATCCAAACTTTCACCAACTGTTTCAATCCGCCAGATCTGTTTCCATCGTCAGAAACTGTCAATCACATCTCATAAACCGTTAATGCCCAGCTCTCGCTACGCTCGGGCCCACTCTGTTCTTCGAAGATTTCAGAAACGCTTAGTTATAACGGACGCAAAAACCAAAACACTGATCTGCCGCTTGATATTTGTTTATTGTTACACCAACATATAAAAGGAATAAGCGAACTAAGTAAACTAAGGTCTGAAAACAAATATTACAATAATAAATCTCTGTATTACTTCTGACGATGTTTCACTCTTCTTTCTGAACAGCGACCGATGAGACGATGACTGTCGTATTGATGCCTCCGCGAAAATTGGGGAAGTTGATTTTGAGCAAACAACCATGAATTGATCGTTCAATCTTGAACTCCATTGACAGGGATGACTGAAAATGCAATCGAATGTATCACGACAACGTGCCAGATAAAGTGAATACACATTGGGTTTGAATAATCCACCTAAAAAGTGCTGAAAATCGGGGCTGTACGTCATTAACTTTAGCGTTTCTGAACATCACCAGTAGCTGCTGCGCTTTCACAAATTGACTCGGAGAACAGTTTCTTTTTTAGTGATTTGCCACTATTAGATTTGCGATTAGTCTGCTTTGTACGGGTCATAAGGAAAAACTAATAGGTATTTTTGAGGAGGATGGACTTTGAATGACGTAACACCCAACGAAAATGGACGAACCCTACAGGGCTAACAAAATGAACTGAGCAAAACTCAATCTTCTAAAAATGAAGTCACAGCATACTCACAAGCTTTAGGTGCAGTGAAAAGAAACAGATTTGTCATGATTACTTGAAGGATTTCACCCAACCTTTAGATGACGAAAGGGTTCCGGAAGGCTTGGGCACTCAAATCTGCTAGTTATCTATGCATTTTTGTGCGTCGGTGGCACAGTGGTTAGGACTCTAGCCGACCATGCATATGGTCCGGGGTTCGAGCCCACGCCGACGCACACCTGATATCTATGGTCGGCCTGCGAAATTTGGGCTACCGATATCCATGCTGAAAATTCCATACTTGTACCAAAAATACGGTGTGGAATCAAGCTGTAATCAAAAATAAAAAAAAAAATAAATTTTATTAGGACAACGAAGTAGCAAACTATATTATTTTTCATTTAAGCGGCTGCATTTTGTCAGTTATTTCCTCACATTATTATTAAACGGCTTGAACTTTCGCCACAGAGTACATCAAAGAGGTTTTATTGTACCCAATGGTTTTACTTTGTTTTAGGCCTGACGCGAAGTGTTTGACATTTCTTTCAGGCGGGCGCCATAGTTTATGACGTTACATTTTCTGCATTCGACGGGGGATGTAGTTTGCCTAACAAATATCTTTCTCTTGATTAAACGACTGCTACTTTAAGTTTTTGGTGGCACGGTCCTGTTTTTTGGAGTAGGCTTTCTTTAGTTCTTATATCAAGTGAATGGTCAATGGCCATGACCTCAAACTACGTTTACGGTGGTTCAGGAATCCAAAATAGTAATATGCTGTCTTATACCTTAAAAAATCTGTCACTGGGACCTAATCAAGTATCACAGGTGAATGTCGAAGTTTAATAAATCGTTCTTATTCATTCATGTTGTTTTGGTAGATAAGTGATCAAAATACTAGCTCGTTATCAATGGTGCCGTCGACTGCACAATTAACTTTTGCTCGTTCAGTTCCTGGTTCATCTGCAGAAAGTGTCCTTCGCCAGCCTTCTAGTCGTCCCACAGGAATACCAGATTTTTTGACACTGAATTCCGGATCAGTTAGCAATAGACCTTCTGTGCTGTCCACTGTATCTGTTTCGAAAGCTTCTTCACTTACTCCTCAAAATGGGCATCCTACCAAGGCTCCTGAGAGAGTTGCTCTCACACCGAAAGCAGTTGTTCCGGCAAACCACGGTTTCGCCAACATGTTTCGTCATCGAGTGAGTTTTATTTTCAAGTTCGATGAAGCAGATTGGTTTCAGGTGGGAATTTTTATCTTGTAAGGTTCTTGTGCATATTAACTTCTTGACTGAGGGAAATAAACATTTCTTCCACCACCTTAGAATGCACCGCGCACTATTCTGGTGTTGCTCATCCACATATCTTGTATTTACCTCTTCGTTTGCTTCTTTTCCTATTTCCATGAGACTATCAAGTCTTACTCCACTTCTTAGCCCTCAGACTAATGATATACTTTATGAAACAGTGGTATTGTATGCGAAGTAACATCTCTTTAGGAGCTAGAGAAGAGTTTCGGTCTAAGATAACAATTGCTAGTAGTGTTTTATGAAACAATCTAGTGTGTTGATGTAGGCTATTAGCTTGTTATTTCTGAATATGTAGCTTAGAGATCCTATGTACAACATAAAGAGCTCATAATACGTGGTTTTCTTCAGATAAAACGTGTACTAAATACGTGGAGCATACATCAACAATCTGTCGGCAGTATAGCATGAAAATATTTCACTTATCTTTCAGAACTGTAATGTGTAGTGTGTAAAAAATATTTGGCCGTCACTATGTGTTGGCCATTGAACTTGACAAACTCAACACTCATGAAAGTTAATCTTTAGGAAGTAAGTCGGGTTTTAAGGATATCAGAGGTTTATCGGTCCACCCTACTATGTATATTGATATTTGCAGCAAAAATTTCAGCCTAAGGTTATTGTCTTTGCATACTTTCCTCTCAGTCCATTCAACCAGTGGGTTTCGTGCTTGAATCCCTTCCGGCTGTACCTCACTAATTTCCTTCAGATAGTTTCTTATTCTGCATAGGACTTTTGTTTGTGAGAAACAAGTTTGCTTAAATAAATTGAATAAATTATAGGCGCAAATAACAATAACAGAAAGAGAACATGAGTGGAAAATAATAATAATAATGATTTACTTTATTCCAAAAACAGTACTTGTGATACAGAGTGGAATTTTCAGCATTAATCACAATATTGCATCTAATTTCCTCAAATTATAAATAAAAATTAATCACTCAGGAAATTTTCCACATTTACAATAGAGGTAGTGTCAAAAACATGCAGCATATAAAATGGAAATAGCAATAATAATGATAACAGCTAGGGTAATAATAATAAGAATACAAGTGAAAATTACCGTTGGCTTGTGTCACACAGTATTGGCAATGTGGTATAGAAATCCTAACATGTTTAAAAATATTGAATATAATATTCTTTTTACATGATATGGTGAGGGGTAAAACAAAGATTACAGCCGTCATGGAGATAAGTTGGTGTTTGCAATTGTGACAGTAAAACAAAGAAGCAACAGGACCATAAATATAATAGAAATAATAAAAGTAAAACTTGAAGGTATATAAGGATGGATGGATGGAAGAAATTGTTTATTTACTAGATGAAAAAGGTTAGTTAATTCTTGCCTGACACTATTTTCATCACATAAAATACGTGCTAAGTATGGTATCATAGAATTTTTATACTTAGACGTGCGAGCATACAGTTTTCTGAAGTTACTCCTTGTTCTACCTGAGGAGATGCAAGGTGAAAGCTGAGGGTGAAGTGGATGCTCCAAGTCAGATAAAATCCCTTTAGCAAATTTATTGCACGAAGTCAAGTGCCTATCGACAACGACGTTAACTATGTGGTCCACTGGGACACCACTCACCCTACTGACAGTCTTCAGTATTCTACGAATTGTGACATAGTCTTTTTTAAGCAAACCAGGAAAGAATAAGCAAGGGTGAGCAATAAAGAAGAATAGGTAGGATGCAAGAGTTTATGAACTGTAAGAGGAAGGGTTAAATTATACCCGAGTGTCTTAACTTCTTAGTGTAAAATGTCAGGCGGAATATTTTACTGGAGATTGCTAAGACATGGGAAGACCAGGAGAGATCAGAAGAGAGAATAAGTCCAAGATACTTAATTTCTGATTTGATTCCTATATCATTGTCGTCAATTTTACAACTGTCATGAGAATCGATGACTTCTTTTAACTGTCTTTTACATCTTAAGCTGAAATCAACAGTTTGACACTTAGAAGGATTCAGTTTAAGACCGTAATGGGTAGATTTGAATATTTAGGTGGGTAGAGAAATAATAATTCTGAGTAGCTCAGTCTACTTTTGAGAGCAGTCTCTGTGCAGCGAAAGAGATAACTTTTGACTTAATATTTCATTTTACGTTTTTATTGGTTATTACCGCAGTGTCATATCTTATGGCCACTCTGAATTTCTGAGGATGTCTTCAAATTAAAGATTCAGTTTGAAATTTCTTACAAAGTATCCATTTGGTGTAATAATTCCTCTGTGTTTACAGAGTAAGCGAATTTACTTATTCGGTTTCCAGACACCTGGAGTATGAATCTACTAGGTTTCTCATACCAGTTGTGTGATTAAGTTATCCAGCTGTAACTTGCTGAAAAGCTTTTGGAGGACTTCGTGTATGAATTTATGATTACGTCTTGGCATTATAAAGTATGCAGATTTCATTGAAATTATTTAACTTCAGTTTGCTTGTGTCACTGGAGTATAAATGCCAAACCACCACCCTCGATAATGGAATTTCGGCTGCATTAGGATTAAGTTATAAAAGATGTAAAGGTAATTAGATCAAAGTATAACCTCAAACTGTAGTCATTAGGTTTTGGTGTGAACCACTTAAGGAAGTGTAAACTACCTGGTTGATAATTAAATGTTAAGAATCAGTTGTTGCTGACTCTTCTTGTGATTTTCTAAGTCGTTCACAGTTGTGCAGATCTTTAGATCTTATCATAATGAGGTATGGAAATGCTTCAGTAGTCTTTAGTGCATTATTCTCTTCGTCATACCCGTGTTCATCTGTTGTGTTATCATCCTACCTCTCATTATTTTGTGTGCATGTGTCAGCTTAAATTTATTCACCTGTGTCAATTCATCAGTCAATTAGTCCTAAATACTACTTCCAAGCATGATAGTTCTTTTTATCATATCAGCGGCAGTTATGTATATCGACATTATCTCCGTTTCACAGTTATTCTTCTATACATTTAGCTGTCGGAAATCTAATTGCTAATATGTTAAAGAGAAGTTGAACTAGATGACGGAAATCCCAACTTTTTTGGGTACAGCTGTTTCTGCAGATATAAGTATTAACTATGTTGATTAACTGGTGATTGCTGCGACGTAGACTGCATTGTCAAGCGATATATTTTTATAAAATAAGGATATTTGTTTTTAAAACCTAAAACATCATGTTCATTTTGTGTGATAATTCCGTCATTTTGCAGCTGAAAAACATGTAAAGGATGAAAACACATGGTAGTGTGGTAATATACATAATTGTTCACTTTGGTAATACGGCGAAAAGAATCTGTTCGCTGGATATTGCTCTTAGTGTTACAGTGGGAACCATTAAGTGATTAATTCATTTGCTTTATTTCCTCAGAATCGTGCATAACACAAGTTGTATCTCATGGTGTAGCTGTGAATGCTTTTGTTATCCGGACAACTAATGTAACTTCAACTAAAGACACTGAAAAGAAATTTGTTTTCCGTATTTACTCTCTGACGATGCTTTCTACTGGAGCGAATATTATCATTTAAACTTGACTATTATTTGTTCTTTTACAGATTCCTGGCGTTCCTTCTTCACGTATGGTATCCAACTTGCCAGATGGTCGTCAAGTTCCTTTGAGTTCCGACATGTGTCCAACCTTCTGGTCCGGTCGATTTAGTGGAACGACCACTAACAATCTTTCGGGGGAAGGGATCAATAATTCTAATGTCAATCAGTCGAATTCATCTGCATTTGATAATATGTTGGCTTCCCCCCACTCATTTGGAAATTATTTACCACCGACTTTAAGACCACCTACTCAGCTTACACAGCCTTATATGCAAAATTCATCCATTCCATCTTTAAACTTTTGCCAGGCTGAGGCAGCATTACCACCCGAGATACAGCCTGACATTCATCTAACTGCATACAGTGAATCCCATTGCGTAATCCCTATTACTGCTTCTCAATATTACTCGAGTCATCAGTCTGAAAATACAAAAAAATTACAGGCTTGTGGTGGTCTCAGAACCCCTTCGTGGATTCTCGTTCCGCCGGTTCCTGAGGACATTGCGTCTCATATGAGAACGGGGAGAATTCATGAATTTAAGTCGAATTTGCTCAATAACCGTAACTCTAGTTTCATAACAATTGATGACGATCTCAAGCGTGTATGTTTAAACTACCCTTTTACAATGTTTTACATTCTGTTTATGTTGTGATATATCCAAGAGTTTTGATCATTTTCGTATTCAATGCTTGTATCCCTGTATGTTTACTGCGTATTGTTACCTATTCTTGTTTTTTAGGTACTGCGCAACAAACTTGAAGCCTGTTTATTAACAGTTGACGAAGCAACAAAGGAAAGTAAGTAATAGTTGAATTGTTTTGGGAAAAACATTTTTAAAGTGTGAGTTTGGCAACAATTTAATATTATCGTTAAAAAATTGATTAGGCTTTCGATGTTTCAACTAAGAGTTATGTTGATAATGCTATCCAGTTATTTAGGTTTTAAGTGGAAATATATTTGTAATAAATATTTACACAAAATGATAAGTTTTTGGCTTCACTTTAACTATTACCAAAATTGAGACTCATCGTAGCGTGTAAGTATTCTAAAAAAATGCGTCTGATAATTTGTTTCATAAAATTATGTAAGCGTTACTCTTCTGCCAGTCTTAGCATTTGTATATTCATCGGCGAAGTTCGGAAGATAACTGTAAAAACACTTCAAAAGCCAGCTTTTTGAGGGTATAAATTTTGTGTTGTAAGAAAAACCAGTGTAATACGAGCATGACGCTATTACTCTTTCAGAAAGAAAGACAATGTGAGACTAAATTTAGTCGGTATTTACAAATAGAGAGATTAGAGCTAACTCTTAGCTAAGTAGTGGACGATACCACCAACGCGTTTTTACCATGGATTCATTTTTAGCTGTGTTCCAGGATTAAGTCAATCTTAGGGTTTCAAAGTTGTTCCTTTTGTGATGCCTATGTAGTAATATAGAAAACCTTTCATGCAAATATGCTTTCCCATCACTGCCTAGGGGTGTTTAATAATGGCATGTAATCGCTTATTTTATATGTGAAGGGAGCATTCTGCACTCATTTATTTTTAAAATAAAAATTCATTTAGTGTTGTCATGATTTTCTGTCCTACAGAATTGCCTCGCAGTCTTGGACCATATACTGACATCGTTCCTCTTGAAGTTATCGATCAACCACGAGCATCTGTTACATTTGGGCTTCCTGGAGTTTGTTTTAAAGCTTGGTCTCCAAGATTTAATTCTCATGTCCTCCTTAGACGCATAGTTCTGCCACCTGAGCACGGAACAACTTTAGCCCCCGATGCTTATTATTTAGCTAAACATCTTTCAGAATTAAATCATTCTTCAATTGTTGGATTTCGGGATGTATTTTTTACAGATGCTTTCAGCGATAATTGTAAGTCCCGTCGAATAATTTAGGTGCTTATTTAAATACTTGGGTGTTTAAAATGGACAGTCAGTGTCCAAGCATTTTTCCACTACATTTGTTGATCTTCTGAATCTACGTTGTAAAGGTCCCTTAGTAGTAAAGGATTCTTGATGGAGGTGAACATTCAACTATTTCTGGATTAAAAAGGGACGTCTTATGGTTAAAATGGTTGGGAATTCTGCTGGCTGATTTAAATTGAAAAAAAGTGCCAATTGTGGGGTTTCTAATGAATGAGTAGTTCAAAAACAATCGGGTGTCTATGAAGTATATGAAGGTTCTTCCATCCCTTCTGGGAAAAGCATTAAAGGTGAGTTTTGATGAAGGCAGGTAAAAAGGATGAAACATCTTCGAATCTCCCTGTTTTTATTTTAGTTTTAAGGTAATCTCAGTGCATGGCGATGTTGTTGTTGTTGTTGTTGTTGTTACATATTTAAATCCTTTCAGGTAAATATTCACAATTAATATATGTCAGTGATTCCCATGTGGATGAAACACTCACCATTTTCGCATGGTATTTGAATTATATAGTTAAGTAAAGTGAAGAAAGTAACTGATTTTTAACTTGATGACTTGTTCACGCAATTCACGTTTACTTGTTAAAGTAATGTGTTTATAATAAGCTTCGGAGCATTTACTTTAGGCAGTTAGCTTGTAGCCTAGTATGACTGCTTTGTTTTTCTGAGGTGAAATTGGTGTCCGATACTCAATATGAATTGTTTCTTCCATTATGGGTAAAATTTATTGTGATAAAGTCTCACGGTGTTATACAGTAATATATACTGTAAATATTACATATCAGAAATCAAAGGAACTTGATGACCATCTGGCAAGTTGGAGACCACGCGAGAAGAAGAAACTTCAGGAACCTGTAAAAAAACAAGTAATAGTCAAGTCAGGACTTTATCAAAATAAATTTTACCCACAATGGAATCATACTTTACCACATGTCACCAGTTATATTCTTATATCACTGTTTAAGATATTGTGTTAAATACGATGTGTTCGTTGTTTAGACAATACAGAAGAGAAACTTAATGGCCATGATTTCGTTAAAACAATTTGGTTTATATGCTGTCTCGAAAATCGACTATAGCATTATCACCTATGATAATAGCTGGTTGGATTCTAAGCATACTTAGTGCTGATAAAATCTTTAAGGTAGCTCTTACAAGAGAATGCATGGATTCACCTATTGTCTGTTTATTTGCATAGTCAGTATATAATTGGTTTTTATTTCAAAACGGTTTTTTTCCCGTCATAAATTGATAACAGTTAAACAACTTTTATACTAGTTTATGATAATTCATCAGTGTACACCGGCAACCCAATGTAAAAAAGTAAGTCCACGATTGTTTGTCTTGTAATCGTCATATTGAAAATTAAGTCACTAGAAGTGTGCATTAGTCAGATTTTATCTCTTCATGAATATTTGTGTAGCTTATTCATTACCATCAATGGCGCGTATTTGATTTCTTACCATCGTTCTTATTCAATTTAATTTCAGTCGAATTAGTGGTAGAGAGTAAATTTTTCTAACAGCAGCAAGAATTTTGGTATTTGCGGCTACTTTCGGGTAATGTTGTATACACAAACACTTTCTTATCGCATTCGGTATATTTTTACGTTCGAATCACACTGACTAGATTATTCATACAGTTTATCATATGATTCTTCGTTTGTTTTTTAATTAAAGCGGTTATAATGGTCTACGAATACATACCGTGTTCTTCAACTTTACAACAAATTCATATGAGTGACCCCTTAAAAGTAACTAGTTTTACTTCACCATTCAATATTAGTCGTACAATTTTACCTCATAGTTCAGTAAAGAGTAAGTTATATAGCCTACCATTGTGTTATTTTCTGTGTAGATTTCATCGCGAGGCAACATCATTTAGAGAATGATTATAGAGCTGGAAGCGCTGGATAGCTGTTTCGTCCTAGTTTGAAGCTATTCAGCAGTGCATCCTAAACTAGGAGAAAACGGCTGTCCAATGCTTCCTGTTTTACAATGATTTTCTAACTGATATTGCCTTGCAACGCAATCTACATTGAAATTAATTAAAATCTCTCTGAGAACCCATAATCTAAATATTATTTTGTTGTACATCTTGTATCGTCACTATTTCGTATTAGGAAAAATTTATTCATCATTGCGTGTTGAAGTTTCTCCATCAGTTTACTATTTTTTGTGGTGTTGCTTCGATAGCCCCATGCCTAACCCTCCCTCTTTACCTGGACTTGGGACGGGTTAGCAAACTAGCAAGCTAATTAAGTAGTCGAGGTGCTGATCAAATCGCAACTCTACTCATCCTCATCTAAGAAAGCATGGAATGGTGGTAGTCAAACCTCTACCTTAATCTCATCGGCTTCGAAAAGGCCTTCGATAGCGTTGACCGACAAGTAATTTGCAAACTGCTTCAACACTACAGCGTGTGGTGCCCGAAATCTTTATCAACTTACTTCAACAGCCATATGACAATGCCACGTGTCAAGTAGTCCACAGCGGAAAACTCAGCGAGGCGTTCTAAGTGAATACCGGAAGGAGTAAAACAAGGCTGCTGCCTATTATCACCGATGATACTCTTAATTGTGGTGGACTAGATTATGCACCAGACTGTGAGAAATGAGAAAATAGGAATATTCTGGACCACCGATAAGAAGACTACAAGATCTGGATTTCGCAGATGATATATGCCTAATATCACACAAACTCGAAGATTTGCAAGCAAAACCAACAAAATGGCTGAAGAAGCAGATAGAGAAGACAGGACTCCAGGTGAACATAGAGTAGGCGGAGGTGATGAAGATAACCAACGAACCGCAATAACAACAGCAACAACGTCAATAACCAGCATCAATCATCATCAACGGGAGAGATTTAACAGAGGTGACCTCCTTCACTTATCTGGCTAGGAAGCATCTTTTCAACTACAGGCCCATGGTACGGATGAAGATGTCAAAACTGGTCAGTCGGAATCGGAAAGGCGAGATACGCCTTCATCAACCTGAAACCAGTTTGGAAATGTTCTCCACTCTGCAGAATCAAGAACGAGATTCGGATTCTGTTCGACAGAAATGTGAGATCAGTCAGTCAGTTCTTTTATGTGGGTGAGAAACTCTCACTGTGTGTCGCGAAAAGGATTTCCAACATGCCATTGTAGATTTTTATCAACAGCCGTCTTCGCTGGCTGACTGGCTGGCTCCATACTGAGGGCGATTTAATGGCCTTCCAGCCACAAAGAATAAGTGACAAGAAACTTTCTGGAAACAAACCAACCAAGAGCCGATCGCTCAAGAAGTATGTAGGAGAAAATGGAGATGGATGAATCGGTCCATACTTTGAGGAGACCGTCGAATGACATCACTTGCAATGCAGGTCATCGCTCAAGTGGAATCCAAATGAGAAGCAACGGGTAGATCGTCGGTGCGAGCGTGATATACAGGAGATCGTGTGTTGGGGAGATGAGAGATTATAGGCAATTGTTGATCTAGCTGAATAGGACAGTAGAAAATAGAACAAAGTGGAAATGTGTTGTTGAAACCCTATGTTCCACTTAGAATGCAAAGGTGTAATAATAAAAATTCTAAAATTCTAAATTCTTAAATATTCCTAATTGCAGTACATAGCTGATTAATATAAGCCAGTTCTGTTTATTTCTTTCAGTCATAATTTCACTGTACATTTCTTCAACCAAAATTACATCAATCTTCAAAACTAGTGTAATAGTTTTTAACACGAATATGGTTATATCAGCAATTGATTGACTATACGATAACCTCACTTTCTATAAACATGTGATGGAATGGGTTGAATCAATATCACTGGGTTATTCTTTCAGTATATGTGTGTCCTTAAGTGTTACTTTCGAGATTTTGAAAAATATCAATAGCGGCTAATGTTATACCCATTATCAGTATTCTTATTTATCGCACTGGTGGCAATAATAATAATAGTATTATTACTACTACTACTACTACTACTAATAATAATAATAATAATAATAATAATAATAATAATAATAGTTGTAGTCATAAATGTAGAACTCAGTATAACTCTTTACATGCTATGGTTGCATTAGTTTTGAATATTTGTGTCTTCCAAATCTGTTTTTCAGCCTACTATTTTGTTTAATGCATAACCTATACAAAATACCCATATTCTATAACAATAAGGTAAATTTTATGACACTCGTAAACATTAGTGGCTTGATGTTGTTACGTGGTAGTGCTATTAGGGTGATTAGACATGACCTCTGCTACTTATTATTTTCCAGTGCACATCAATTTCAGTAATGTAATAATATCAAGATGCAACGCTTCGCTTCTACTGGTCTCATTAATTCACTTAGTAAAGCGTTGAACAAAGATTTACGGTATTTCTGTGTGTGTGTGCGGCTTTACAGTTTTGGAGGAGAAATTTGTAGAATTTCAATAACAGCAGTTATGAACTACTTTATACCTTGGATCTCATTCAAAAGATATCGTCTTTTAGACATTACCAGTGGATAGTGTCTACACATTAACCGTGGAACGGCGGTTCATTAGTCTAGGCTCTTGAATCCCAACCAGTTGGTCACGCGGTCGAACCTCATCCCACCTACCGAGATTTGTGCCTCCATGTAGTATCACTAGCCCCCACACAATAGGTGTGGTTTATTGCCAACTTCATGGAATTGCAGATTTGTTAAGTAACATTCTATTCTCCTTCTATATACTAACCTAAAAAAATGAACTGGTGGGAATGTGAAAACCTGTAGGTTCAACTCGTTTTGTCAATCACACGGTGGAGTTTTGTGAAACAAAAGCTCTATACATTTATTTTCGCTAGTGTTAAACTGTATATCCTTTATGTTTCGCCACTGATATTTTTACCCTTTTAAATTGTAGATGCACCAACTGATCTGGGAATGCCTCAAGAATCTGTTTTATGGTCATATTTAGTTCAGTTAACCAGTGCCCTACGGTTTATTCATCAAACAGTTCGTCGGTCATGCGGTATACTAGATCCTACCAAAGTGTTATTACAAGACGGTCCACGGTAGAATTCTGTTTTTATACTGAAATGATATAATTTTATAGTTATCTTTTTTTCTACTACTAAAGTCTCGTGATGAATGTATTTTTTATGTATCTTATTTACCTTGTCAATGAACTTCTTGAAGTGATTATTCTATGATCCTGAATTCTATCTGCGTTAATTACTGCTTAACGCAGGGTCAGTGTACTTGTTCATTTAGTATTAGACATAGCAGCTGTGTTGATAATCCTGGCATCTATACGTTTGGAAACATGTTTGCATCCTAAAATGTCCATTTCAACTGTATCATTGGTATATGTTATTAAGCCAGAGAAGCAGTACTAACTACATGAAATATTGACTATTTTGTATGTCAAGCTACATGTTTCTAAGATAAATAACCTTATAACATAGCTACACAACTGCTTTGATTCTATGCGTTTATTTCTGTTTTACAGCTTGAAAATCAACTGCTTTGGTTTAAAGGACATTCTGTTCTATTCTGCACAGGATGTTAATTTGTTGGAAAATCAGGTACGCCTAATATGCTTGATATATATATATATATATATATATATATATATACTAACAATAATTTTACACTTTCCATTTAGGCTGCTGATTTCATACAACTTGGGAAATTGATGTTAGGAGTTGCATGTGGCACAGTTGCAGCTGTACAGGTTAGTCTTCTCCGTTGAGTCAAGTTTTTCATCGATATTCTTGGTTTATTAGAAGGTTGACATTTCTCCTGCTATATTTATAGGCGGGGTTGGATGGGTGAGGGAGTCAGCTTGTTTATTATAGTATCTGAAATTATAGGTCCCATAATCCTGAATAGATTAAGCGGTGCTTGAGAGTAAAAAAAAACCCATGAAAATCAGGTAGACTTTATGTTCGATCATATTTACACTCTGATAGATTCTGGAACATAGACATACCGGTGTACTTACTTACTTTACTTTACTTCGGCTATCTCCTACGGGAGGATGAGCCGGCTTCATGAACATCTCGAATCATCGCTGCCCAGGCGCGGCGATCTGATGCAAGAGAGTTCATGAAGTTTCATGGGAATTAGGTACGAGTGATGTCCCCGGCATCGCTCGGCCTTTTGTTTGAGAGTGCAGCTCTAACCTTTACACAGCCAAGTGTGACCTACAAGGCAGTAGGAGTGGAGTAAGGAGTCCACTATCCATTGGCAGCCGGTGACCGGAGTTCGGTTCATACGCCTTTTTGAATGGGGCCAGACATCCAGGGCATCCAATAAGCCCTTTGTCCATACGTCTGCCAGTGAGCTCCGGTGAGCTTCACACGCCAGTTTTTGGAGGTTTGGAATCAGGGTTTAGCCATCTCCCCTAGACTATCATCCAATGGAAAGTCAACCCGGTGAAGAGCGCCGGGCATCCGCTTTTGCCCTCTCACTTCGGTGGAAAACACCTCCACCACGTGAAGGCAGTGAGTAGGACTCCCTCATGAGAGGCTATGTAAGACTCCCGGTCATATGGGAGCATTTCAAGAGGTGTACGGAGGGGTGGCTAACCCGCAGCGCAAGGCACCCACCCCCGACCATCCTGAGGCTTTGGAGGCCATACCGGTGTGCAACACTTGTCATTATTATTTCTTAACCTGAAGGTAACATTTAGCTTTGTCTATTGAGAAGCACTGTGGCAGTATTTGGCCGTAAAGAGAGTGCCAGTAAAGTATGTGTCACTAACCAAAAAACACTATTCGAACTTATACAGTAGTGTAAGGGATTATGGAGAGTTGTCATCTGAAGTGATGACGACGAGCGGTATTCGTTAGACATGCTCAATATCTTCATTTTTGTTTAATTTGGTCATAAATCTACTGATCAATGAGACCTGTGACCAACTTTAGTAATTTAGAGATTGTCTTGCTGCCGGGAAAGTCTCGTCGATTTAGAGTATAGTGATGGTATAGTCCTTTTAGGGGATGACGTTGGCAAAATCAAGAGTCATCGAAACACGTTGAGCAGAATGCTTGAAAAGTTTGTCATGCGATTCGTCACCGTCCAATGTTGTGTGATTCTGGAGGCTTACTTTGAAGTGATTGCCAGCATAAGGATAGGAAGTCAATCAGTCTTGTGGATGTTGATCATTTCACTTATTTGCGAAATCTCACTATTCCCATTAGATGAACTGCTGTCTAAATTGCAGTATGAATCCAAGGCAATCACTTAGCATTTGATAAATCGCATCATGTTTAACAAAGGCAGAATATCTGTGTGTTCATCGAACGGTATGTCCTTATGTCAAGGCCTTGATTTGATTGTAAGTGATAAGTTGTGCTGGAAACGTTATCAGTGAATAACACTATGTTGCTGTGTACTTTTATCAAATAAAGTTGTTCCCTGATGGGATTACTCCTCTATTGTAGTGTCCATATTCTATTCGTATTTCGTGATGCGCATGTTCGTATAGTGTAGTGTTTTCATATTTCTATTTTCTTGTCTTGTTTACGTTTTCAATTTGAAATGCTCGAGTTTTACGCATTTTCTCAGAGTCACTCATGCAAAACATTCATAGTTAAGTATGTGAGGTCCTTAAATCATTGAGGGATAGTTCAACTAGATTACTGTAGCAGCCTGCGTCGATTTTAATTGCTTAGAATAATTAATATCATACATGTTTTTTGTTTAAAATATCTTGCCTAATATTATTTCAATTTTCCATTGTGTATTTTCATATTCTTGAAGGCTAGTCAACGAATTTCTTCCTTTAATTTAATGCAACGAGCATATCGACCAGAATTGGTAACTCTAATCCGTAGTCTGGTATCAGGACAAATTACTGGAGCTGATCAGCTAATGCGAGCTACTGCACCATTTGCATTTGATCATTTAACAAGACTATATGATCATTCAGACTTGTTAGAAAGTCAATTATTATCAGTGAGTTCATTATTTCTTTCTGTTTGTTGCTGCTAGACGATGTTAGTTTAAGTAATCAGGCGGAGATAAATAGTATAGAATATAACGTAATAGTGCACTGTGTCACACCACCAAAACATCAAAAATGAAGTCGACAAAAAGCACGATAAAGAAATTGTAAAGCAATTGAACATTTCAATATAAGCTTCGACACTAACTAACATCAGATAGAAATCACTGAAATTAAGGAGTTCTAGACATATGTTCCATCATAGTTTGGGACTCCTCATCAGTATGCTTCCACGACCCCATCAAATATCGAACCTGGGACCTTCAGATTATAAGAACAAACCCGTTGATCGTTCACTCACTTTTGTTGGTGGTTTAGTGATCGCTGGTTGAGTTGTGGATGCGTACTGTTGAAGTGTCTCAGACTAGGACGGAACTACTATCCAGTGAACTGGTTGTCAGTGATGTCTAACCGATGCTGCTTCGTGGGGAAATCTACATTGACATTAATCTGAATCCCCATAGAGACCGATAATCTAATGTATAAATTTTCTTTAAACATAAAGAAGGGGAAGTTTGAGAAATAAAGTTATTCATTGCTGTTTAAACGTAAATAAAATAGAGTTATTGCACTACGAACAGTCAAACGGATGAACACCAAACATATTAATTGATAGTAAATTATTGGGAATCTAGTCTAATTAGTAACATGCTCATTGAAAATGTCACATAATGCGATTACATTTGAAATAGTGATAAGCGGCGCTGACTGGAAAAATCTGTCAACTGTTAGATGAATTGTCCAATGATAGTCGATCTGTGGTTACAGAATTTCATCATAAGCTGACATCGTTTAGAGAACTATTGGAAAACCTGGGAGTACTGGACAGCTGTTTCGTTCTAGTCTGGGGTTCTTCATGAGCACACGCCCACCGGCAGAGTTCGAACCCAGGACCTTTCGGTTGCAAGGCGAGCTCATAGGCCATTAAGGCACTAGGACCCGATTCATTGGCTCATGAATTCCAACTTCAGGTTCGGGTCACAGTGCCTTAATGGTCTACGAGCTCGTCTTGTAACCGGAAGGTCCTGGGTTCGAACCTCAGTGGGTGTATACTTTTGAAGAACCCAAAACCAGGACGGAACAGCTGTTCAGCACTCATTGCAGGTTTTCCGATGGTTCCCTAACTAATTTCAGCTCATGATGAGATCTTGTAACCAATCAAATCAAATCCTCGAAAACCAACAATCGAATAGTTGTGGTTTATCGAGAAAGTGATTATTGTATCACTCAACAATTTCCCTTCACTTAAATTATATATATACATATATTTATATATAAAGGTTTGTTGCTGAAAATTACTCTTCTTTTGTATTGTTGTTCATCTTAGGAGTTGGGATGTGACAGACTTTTCCGACTTATCTGCAAATTACAGTCCATTGTGGAGCGTTGCGAGTGAGTATTACAATAATTACTGCCTGTTTTTCTTTTTCCTTTTAAATGTACAATCATCTGGTGTTAGCAAGATCCATGCTTGCTTAGGCAATCGTATTTTCTATTTCTACTTAACTTTGCACAGTTAGATTTTAAACAGAATTTCTCCATGGGAGGGTTTATATTTTGTGCATGAGCAATATTGGTACTGTCGTTTTTAAAAAATTTTTACTTCGATTACCAAAATATTTGAAATCTGTTTGTAAGAATGATTTTCGTCGTAACTGGTGTAAATAACAGATGTTCTTTTTATGAACTGAGAACCCCCAAACCTTACAAAGTCCTTATTTACTGAGTTACCGCTGATTATCTGACAAGTGAACCATGTTCAGTTCACCTGTTCAACTTGCCACATTCCATTTAGTGTGCACAAAGGCAGAGAAAAGACAAAAAAGGAGAGATTTGAAAGAACTATAATAAGCGGAAATGTGCTGGAGAAATACAATAGTGACACGAAAAGACATGAGGGTTCAATTGTGATATGGAAAATTCTTATAAAAAGTGAATACCTTCGCGCCATTGAGAATAACTTTAAGTCCAATCACGAATAGTTTCAAGTCGTCATTAGCATCTTAGCATCCTTACATGGCTCAAACCAACTGTCAAAGACGCCATGAATTAATTTCAAGTTCCAGTTGGAGCAGCGTTAACTGTTTTCCAACCCAATTCTGTGTCAGTTAATATTACTCGTCAAGAAAGGCGATGGCTCAGCATGCACCACACGTGTCCTAGGCATTTCAATCATCGATTGATTTCCCTATGCCCAACGTTGTAACCACTACATTGTAGAAACGCCGTTCTACGTGTTCATAATCTACGGATTGTTACCGTTTGCAACAGAATTGTGCGAAGTATAGCCATTGTTTTTAATCCTTGCATGTGACTTCTTAAAAAGTTTGTAAGCACTTTTCCGTGCCTAAGTTACTTTCTCTTGCTATTGACAATGACTGAATGTTTTTCGTAGAAATCCGTACGAAAGATCAGAGCATGAAATTTATTTCTTTGCGTTAAATCAAAATCAGAATATGTAAAAATTGCTTTTTGTGCTTTTGTTGTTTCATGCCAGTATTTTTCATTAATAAAATGATATCTTAGTTCGAGTCCATGCATGCTTTCTTTCCTACTATATTAGCTACTCAATGTTGCTTAGCGCCAATTGAGATGTTTATTTTTCCCCGTTTTTTCCCTTGACGTTCCCCAGTGGAACATAGGGCTTCAAGCTAGTGGCTTGAAGTTTCTGTAGCAGTGTTTAATTTTTACAGGATGGGGTTGCTAGCCTCATGCCCAACCTTTCCTGTTTACCAGCATTATTTCTGGTTTAGCGAGGTAAAAGAGTGCGTCGCTGGCCGAGGATCGAACCCCGTACCCTGTGCATGGTCGGCGAGTGTCCTAACAGCTATGCCATCGACGCTATATGTTCCCGTAGCTTCATTAAAATGCATACGAATGTGTACATGTTGATTATTTATATTCTTGTGTATAGCGTTTATTTAAATTGCATGCCAAGCGTGTTCTCATTTCTTTTCGTTTCTTAAAGTGCAATTTTCATTAGTGTTTTAATTCTTCCTCTTATGCTTTTCATTATTGTTCGGTATGCATATTTAGTACGGATAGTTCTGCAATTCTTATTTGTTGGTTGTTCTTTTTCTAGAACTAGAAATAAATTGTGATGACGATGATGAAGAAACGTGTGATTCCTTTGAGAATGTTATAGTATAGTATTCTATATAAGAAAAAAAAGTTTATTCACACAAAATAAGTTGGGGTATGCTCTGACTGAGTGATAAGTATTACCTGCCTAGTCATTTTATATAATTATTATCACCTGGTTTGTAAAGAGTGGAGACGTGATTCACTGGCTTAAACACTCAGTTTTTAGCCAACGGTCTATGGGTTTGAGTCCTGCTCCACCTACTTCAGCATGGGCACTGGGGTAGTATCATCGGCCCTGACATGGTATGTGTGTAGCTCTTAGCCTAATACATGAAAAATAATTGAGCTTAAACAAACAACATCATTGACAACGCGAATATCTTCGTGTGAATCATCTAATCTCTGGTTATTCCTTCGGAAGTTTTTTTAAAAAAATCTGCAAATTTTGTCGTTGATGAAATGCTCATTGAATCGGCGTGCCTTAATGTTATCTCGTACAAACAACGGACCTTCTAAACTTGTGTATCATTCCAAGAAGTTACATTTAATACAGAGATACTGGAAGTAAATTAGTGGAGGAAAATATTTTTTAAAGTGGAAACACTGGTAATAATGAGAAATAAAACAATATTGATTTCTGTCAATGAAGTTTACGGTTGATATTTAGGTAACTGGATTACTAAAGGCTTATTTCATTTGTTTTATGTACTTCAGCTATGTGGATCAAGGAGTTGGTTAGATATTATGTAATACTGCTGTATGTACTTATTCTATATCTTTCATATTTATATGTATAGATGGTGTTTCCAAGTAGGTCATTTACATCTCGGTTATCATTGGATGCTTTTTCGTTACTTTATGTTAGGTTTCGTGGAGACTCATCCTACTGTTACCAGGGTGAATTTGTTATTTACGGAAGGTAAATGTGATTAGCCATCAGTGTCCTCTTGTGTGTTGGCGATTCAGGGTTAGAATACCCGTCGACCACACAGATAGTTCGGTTTCAATCCCCTGACAACTCACTCCTAAACCTTGCCTAGCCAGTAATGCGACTGGTAAACACAAAGCTGCTGCCTCTGAAACTTCAAGGCTTAACGCATGAAACCCCATATTCTGATAGGAACTTGACGAGACGGAAAAATTGGCGTCCCAACACCTGTCCTTTCCATTAAGCTACGATGTTTTTGACAACTTTATGAACACTTGAGGATGTTATCCAATGCCTACGCATATTACCACCTTTTATTCTGTGAATCATTTGTCCATTAAAAAAAGACTATCCTATGTTCAATATCAACTTGATTATTTATTTCCAACTTAAAGGATTAATTATTACTATTATTATAAGATATCACACGTGTACATATTATTTCATTTTACTGTCTTATATAGTCAGGGTATATCTCCAGAATGGTCTGAGACCGGTGATCGTTATATGTTAAAATTATTCCGTGATTTTGTATTTCATCAATCCGATCCCCTTGGTGCTCCATACTTAGATCTTGCGCATATAATCACTACATTGAATAAGGTACGTTGTTTTAGACTATTCATTAGGACTAGCAAATCAAATGATGAATACTACAAGTAGATTATGTAATTATGTTTATACAGTCAAAAAAACATGATTATAAGTCGCGTGAATACTTTTAATTTATAAATGTGGTCTTGAAACTTGTTTATTATTATTGGTGTTGTTATTATTATTATCGTTCATAGCTGTTGAATCACAACTCAAAATACTCTGTTTTGTAAATAATAATAATAATAACAATAATGATAACAGTAGTTTCATTCTGATTGGTGCGTTTATACACAATGTGAAGTATTCAGCGTGTTTTCCACTGCAGGACATTTACTTCTTGTGCAGAGTCATCAGGCCATGTAACAATAATATCATGACCCAATGCTCCACAATGCTTTTCCTTCCACTCCTTAGTAAAAATTCCCAGTGGTAGTGTGAAACTTATTTAAAAATGTGCGTTGATTATAGATTGTGGTGTGTAGAGGTGATTGAGCAATTTAAACAATGTGAAGTGAAGTAAATATGGTGTATTTACATGGATGGGGAATTTCGGTAACACAGTGATTTGCATTCAGGTAACTCTGGAGGCGTAGTAGTTTACATTAGCTTTATTATTGATACGAAGAATAATATCTGATAACGTCAGTGATGCAGTGGTAGAATGTTCGCCAACTACGCAGGTCGTTGGGGGTTAAATTCCCAGTCGACGCATAGCCTAAACTTTGCCTACCTGGTGTTAACTCCACCTCGTAAAAGCCACCACTGCTCCTGAAGTTGTATGTCCCACTTCGAGGGAAAAAGCAGAATTGATAGCCTGTTCTGTCGAGTGCCGTTATTCGTTACTTTTGTACGAATAGTTAACGGTGTAGTGGAAATAGAATGACAGTTTATCAGTTAACTGATAATGTTCAAGAAATGGAGAAATCTCTTCTCAATGGAGTAGTTTTTCATTGAATTGTACGAGGTGTAACCACTAGAGGAAGTTTAAATTTAGTATATACAGAAGAAATATAATAAAACCGGTTCATATACTTGTTTGTTTTAAGCTGAAACATTTGAATGAATTTAGTAATTGGAAATAAAGGTGCATCTAAATTATTTTTATAGAGGTGGTTATCTTTCATATCAATTTGCTGTGCATCAACTTCTGGATTTCCCTCATACATAACATAGCTTGCAGTTAATCAATTTTAAGTGCCATATTGATTTTTTTCAAATAACACTAGTGTGGTTTATGGCAAGACATTCCACACACTCACAGAGGACTGTGCAATTTATTAATTTTGAAGCCTGTTGCCTTGCTGTGACTAACTTGTTTCACAGTGTGGAACTTTGCAAAGAAATGCAGCAATTCAAGTTACCACACTCCTACAGCACACAAAGGCAAACGAAAGGTAGAGAGAAAAAGGAATTCGAACGAACTGTGATAAACACAAATGAGCAGGAGAACGAAAGAAGAATCGTAACGTGAAAAGAAAAACCTAACGATTTAGTGGATATGGGAGATTACAAGGAGTGGATGCATCCGCGTCACTGGGAACGATTTTGATCCATGTCACCAGTAGTCTGTAGCCATTTGTTCTTAGAATTCCTCAGACACACCGCAGTCAGGCGTCTACACCTCTCTACGTGTCTCAAACTAACTGATTTCTGGTTTCTTTTTGACCACCTGTGACTTTTTTTCAACTTGAACCTATATCGACTAACATTGTTGATAGGGGAAGGCTACAGCTGGGCATGCACAACACGCATCTTGACCATGCCAGTCAATGTAGTTTCACTACCTGATCGATTGACTTACCTTCCTTAATTAACACAACGCCTGACCTCGGTATTACTCACCGGGCGACGGAACCTAAACATCTGTGATCAAAGCTACCTAGTCTTTTGAGATCTTTGACTTTCAATAACCATGTCTCACGACCATAAAGAAAGACCGAGTGAACTGTTGCGTGGTACACATGGTTTTTGATTGATAGGCGGATATCACATCTACGCTAGAGAAACATAAGTTAGCGAATGCCACATGAACCTTTTTGTACCTGTATTGAGATTTCGTTAGCAATCAGTCCATTGGGGGTTGATGCAACTACCCAAATAATTAAAATGGTCAATACATTCAACCACTTTATTCTGTATCTATAAACTAGGAGTTCGGTGAAGATGAGTTCTCTAGTATCATCGTACATTTGACTGGGGCGAATCGCATGCTTGATATTCGAAGATATGTGCTCAAAGTGGTTAGAAGAAGACTGCGTTAAAGTAGCACCTTCATCTAGGATGACGACGTCATCCGAATATTTTTCCCTGGTAAAAAGTCAATCGTTAAGTCGCTAAAGTCAGTTAGAGTCAATTACATTCATACATTTTTTGATGAGATTGAACAGAAAAGGGGGACAACGAGCATCCTTGATGAACAGACGAAATTTACCGCCACAGACTAGAAAAATTGGTGAATTTAACACCCAAAATTAAATCAAATCGAAACTTGCAAAAAAATACCCGCAAGCTGTATGGATTATGCTGCTTTTCTATCTACGTATTTGTAGGAATTAGGGATACAGTCAGTAATCATTCATCATCATCATTTTTCATTTGATTATTGGCAAAGTTTATACATCAGATTGTTTTATATCTGTTTTCCTAATAGTTATCTAAATTACTGGCTCACGAATATTTGACGTTTAATGTGTGTTCTTTATTTCATGAAATTGTATTTATTTTAAATTTTTATAGGTTGAAGCTGGTTCACTTGAACGCCTGTGTCTTGTCAGTCGTGATAGTCAAAATGTGATTATAGTCACATATGCAGATATTAAACAGTGGTTAGATACAAGTTTCTCCTATCTCGTAGAAAAACATCGTCAAAGTCGATGTGAATTACACCTTGCACAACAAAGACACGCTCCTCCTGCTCCTGCTGCTGCTCCTCCTCCTCCTCCCGCTCAACACCACCACCATCAACAACAACAAGAACAGCAACAAGACATCACTTCTGTGCCAACTGTTTCTGAAACCTGATACAGTAAATTCAATCTTACCTAATGTTTAATAATGTATGCATTTATCTTGATTGAAAGATAGTTATTCATTTGGTTAAACAATTAACTATGAACCCTGGAAACAAAATATCTGATGTATATTGGGGCCACCTTTACTAATTGCCATTTATCGTCTTTAGGCTATCAGTTCGTTTTTGAAAGATATTATTAAAAACTTAATAAAAAACAACAACAAGAAAGTACTAGACACGTCACACTAGTTACTAGTGTCCAATCAAACTACCCACTACAGTCCTACAGCAGGTTAATCGCAAGCCCGCATAGCTCAGTGGTAACGTCTCTGACTGCAGCACTGGGGGACGCGGGTTCGAATCTCAGAAGAGACATGAGTTCCTTCAAGGTTGCTGATACGCCCTGCTCACGAGTGCCAACTAGCACGAAACCTAGGTCAGCCGTGGCTTCCTGCCGATTGCCTCCAACTATCTAATAACAACAATATCTTCTTGAAGTTACTTTGGTTGATAGTGACTAGCAGTAGTGTCCACGATGTGTATTTCATCCTATTTGAAACCTGCATTCCCTCAAGTAAATGACGGTGTTCCCACTGAAACTCGAAGCATGCATCTAATCGTCCCGGATACTAAAGGGGTATCCACCACCTATCGTACAAGAAGCGGCTTTCGTGGTCTAATTGATATAATGCTTTGGCATTGGAAACCTGGGAGTACAGTCCTAAATAAAACTAAATATGCATCCTGGATTCCACTGCTGGTCACCATAAACTAAAACTGCTTCTCGTTAATCCACAGACATCGCCGAATTGTCCTTACTAACAGCTGGCATGACAACAGAGATCGAGTATTTACGTTCAACATAAATAATTAACGGTAAATGCAAATTCATCTAAAAATAAACAATATTCTCTGTGTTAGCTTTAGTAGAGCTGTGACTTATTGACTGAAAGCGCAGTCGACTCACAGTCAGTATGTCTCGGGTTCTAGTCTCGCTCCACCTAATTCAGCCTTCATCAGCTTTTATACAATAAGTGGTAGAGCACGTTGACCGCTTCACTTATTTGGGAAGTACCATCAGCCCCAACGGGCTGATCTCTGACGAAATCTCAGCACGAATACAAGGGGCTCGTTTCGCATTTGTTAGTTTACGCCGACTCTGGCGTAGACGAGATGTTCGACTATCGACCAAAGGGCGGGTCTACTGCTCATCAGTCCGCTCCGTCCTCCTTTATGGTTGTGAGACCTGGCCACTGAGAGTGGAAGACATGAAAAGACTAGCTGCCTTTGATCATAGGTGCCTGCGTTCTATTTCCCGTGTAAAGTGGCATAATAAGGTGAACAACATGGAGGTTAGGCGTAGAGTTCTAGGTAAACAGGGGAAATCAATCGACGAAGTCGTGAAGCTACATCGACTGAGATGGTTAGGACATGTGTTACGTATGCCAAGTCATCGCCTCCCTCGACGAGCTATGTTAGCGGATATAGGGTCAGGCTGGAAAAAAGCTAGCGGCGGTCAAACAAAAAACTTGGCATCAGTCAATGAAATCCACAACAGTTGGTCTTAGCCACGTAGGAAGGTGTAGACTTCCAGGCTGGGGTCCTCGGGACGGCAAAAATCTATGGTTGGAAACAATTGGTGACATGGCTCGAAATCGTTCTCAGTGGCGCAGATGCATCCACTCCCTGTGACTTATGATCTTCAATGAAATTGTTTTGTATTTCTTTATTACTCCTTTGTCTCACACCTCTGCTCACTGTTTCTATTATGCTTTTCTTGTACTTTCTTCTCTTGCTTCGCGTGCTACACGCAATATGGCGACTTGAACTTCCGCATATTTGTGCAAAGTTCTATGTCGAAAACAGACAGACAGAGACAATAAGTGTGTAGTTTTTTTGGTTCATGGAAAATCTGAGTCCATATAACAACTACACTTTAGAACAAGCTAGTTAAGGTTGAATTTTAATCAACTGTTCATTTTAGATTCAACAATAATATGACAAAAAGTGCATTTATTATTTTTATTATTGTCCCCTTGGATTGCGAGTGGGACATGAGGCTTCAACAACACATCTACACTTTGTTCTATTTTCTACCGCCCCCTTTAGCTGGGTCCACGATTGCCCATAATCTCTCATCTCCTCCGCCCCCCTCCACACGATCTCCTCCATGTTGCACTCGCACCGACGACCAACTAGTCGCTTCCCATTCCGATTCCACTCAAGTAATGGGCTGCATTGTGAGCGATGTCATTCGACAGTCTCCTGAATGTATGACCAATCCATCCATCTCCATCTTTTTCTTCATACTTGTTGAGCAATCGGCTCTTGGTTGGTTTATTTCCAGACAGAGTTTCTTGCTAATTATTCTTTGTGGCTGGAAGGCCATTAAATCGCCTTCAGTATGGAGCTAACCAATCAGTGAAGACAGCTGTTGGAATGTTGGAAATCCTTTCCGTGACACGCAGTGAGAGTTTCTCACCCATATAGAAGAACTGACTGACTTCACATTTGTATTGAACAGAATCCGAATCATTTTCTTGATACTGCAGAGTTCACGTTGATGAAGGAGTATCTCGCCTTTCGAATTCTGGCTTTGACATCTTCATCCATGCTATCATTCGTTGCTGAAACGATGCTTCCTAGATAAGTGAAAGAAGTCACCTCTGTTAAATCTCTCCCATTGATAGTGATTGGTGCTGGTTGTTGATGTTGCGGTCCGCTGGTTATCTTCATCACGTCCGCCTACTCTATGTTCACCTGCAGTCCTGTCTTCTGTCTGCTTCTTCAGCCATTTTGTTGGTTTTCGCTTGCAAATCTTCGAGTTTGTGTGGCACTTAACACTAATCATTTAAGAAATCGGATCTCTTAGAGTCTTCTTGTTGGTGGTCCAGCGTACTTCTGTCTCCTCGTTCCCAACGTACAGTCTGATGCATAATCCAGTCCACCAAAATTAAGAATATCATTGTTGGTGATAACAGGCAGCTTGATCTTACTGCTACATTCACTTCAACGCCTTCTCTGAGTTTTCCGTTGTGGATCACTTGACATATACCGTCGTCATATAGCTGTTGAATGAAGTTGATAAAGATTTGCGCAATGCACACCGCAGAGTTGAATAAGTTTGCAAATCACTTCTTAGTCACCTCCTTCGGAGGCCTTTTCGAAATCGGCAACCATACCACGTTGAAAACACCGGTTGTCGTCGGATCACTGAAGTTAAGCAACTTTGCGCCCAGTTAATTGGTATACCAGGTGTCGCCGACCTTTTGTTTTACCTGATTAGCTCAGTGGTCACGTCTCTGACTGCAACACTCACAGGGTGGCACGGGTTCGAATTTCAGAGGGGATATGAGTTTCCTCAGGGTCGGAAATAGGCCTTGCTGACTGGTGAGTACCAGCTAGCACGAAACCTAGACTAGGTAGGGCTTCCTGCCGAGTGCCTGTAACCATGTAATATCTCCTAAGAAGTGTATACTCATAACTGTTGTCTTCAAGTTTTAAACTATTTTGTTTACGTTATTTTCTTCTCTTTAACGTAAATAAAGATACTGAATACATAGGGAAACTGAAGTATTACACATAAATCAACTATACAATGTCATGATTTTTTTTCACGGCATCTTTGTTGTCGATCGATTTCGCACACAAATTCTCACTTATTTCTTTGGCTGTTCCATTCTGTAGGAAAGTGATTATTAACACCAGTAAATGATGCGTTATACTATCGCTTTTAGCTTTTGTTTTCTTTGACGACATTAATTGTTTCAGATTAGAATGTTTCATATATAAGCTGAAGTGTAATACTTTCATATTCCAATTTAAATGTACGTGTGGACACATACGTAGGAGGAGAACTCATCGATCTCTGCAAGTAAGGGCTGGCTTCAGAGCATATTCCTAATTGGCTCCAGAAGCAAACAGAATCTTCAGAACGCATTAATGGTGGGAACAGTTGACCTAGCTCCTCAATTTCGAAACATATTATGGAGACAGGACATAAAATTGACGTTAACAGATCTTTTAAACTTATCTATAAAACGTGTTTGGAGTGTATGCTAAAGTTTGTGGAAGCCCTAGCTGGCAATTAGAAAGTTTAAGCCACCTTTATGCGTGCAAAAACAATTCGTCATCACACTAAACCTTCCTTGGTAAACCTTGTTTTGACACCATAACAGATGTACGATTACCTCTGTTATTTGGTTTAGTGATCTTCATTGTTATTTTGACTTTCAATATGTCCTTTTAACTTGACCTAAATCTATTTTCTCACCTCCTAACTATTTATTAAATTTCCTATGACAAGTCCATGTGTGATCAGATTGTTCGAAATGTGTTGTGCGCAAATACATTACACAATTCAGACGAATTACATCTTATTGCTTTGCCTACTTTCATATTTTTTGTTCCTTCACGTTCCCCATTGGAACATAGGGCTTCAAGCTAGTGGCTTGAAGTTTCTGTAGCAGTGTCTATTTTTACAGGATGGAGTTGCTAGCCTCATGCCCAACCTTTCCTTTTTACCAGGATTATTTCTGGCTTAGTGAGGTAAAGGAGTGCGGCGTCGGTGGCCGGGATCGAACCCCGGACCATGTACATGGTCGGCGAGCGTCCTAACCGCTATGCCACTGACGCACAGATTGTCTACTTTCATACACCTTTTATTTTCTACTTTTATTATTTACCTTAGATTGTTTATCGACGGACCATTCCTTCAGTCAATCAATCAAACAATCAATCAGTCAGTCTGTCAGGCAGTCACATCGCATATGACTAATGCATTCGTGATGTATTTTATTCCCTGTATTTTGTTGTCTTCCGGTTTTGTGAAATAATAATAATAATGAAAGGAAATTTGCACTCCAATATAAATAACACATCAATGAGTAGTAGTAGATCTATGGATAGAAGCAGAGATCAATGAAATAGTGTGCTTTCTTTTTCTTCAGGAGATAATATGCCATTCTATTCTATATCATAAACTTGTGTCTTTCTTCAACACCTATGTATTATATAGATATATTGTTCCCCCCTTTTTTTCTCTCCTCTCCCTTGATGAGGTGTTGATGAACTCCAACTTTATTTATCTATTTATTTTGGCTTAAACTTACATTCTGTAAAAACACTGACTACTATCACTTTTTTAAATGGACTTTTAATCTCTCCCTTTTTTGTTTCTATAAGGAATGATGACAGGTGTTTTCTAATTCTTGTCTTTACTCTCCGCATCTTCAGATGTTTTTAATGTATAGTTCATTGAATGACTGCATATCATTACTAGACTAGTAACACTATTTTATTTCTCTCTCTCTCTCTCTCTACCTACCTAACCACATCCTTCTCACTAGTAAGCCGGTAGTATTATGACTAATGGTTTGTCAGTCAGTCGATTGAATTCGATGTAATAATAATAGTAACTTGCTTGTTTATTATTCCCTATTCTCTGTATATGACATATGACTGTTACCCAATTTCGACGTGTTTGTTGTGTTTTTTCTGTCTTCTTCCAAACATTCAAAACAGACTTGACTGTTGCCAAACTGCTTGACCCCACTCATCATTTATTTCCTTCACTTAATTCTTGTAATTTGTTGTAGGCGTGTGCCTGTGTGCGCGTTTGTGTATGTGTGTGTGTGCAAATGCGTAAATAAGTCAGTAGTAGTCGTCTCTGTTTATTTCTTTGGTTTTCTTTTTTTTTGAATTTTGCATTTCTGTTTTCTTATCATTATCATTATCATCAAAATCATCGTCATTGTTACTATTATTATTATTATCATTATTTTTTACTTTTGCGATTTCACAGAGAGAGCATTTTATTATTAGTATGTGTGTGCGTGTGTGTGTGAATGACAACCACACCAGTCGTCAGCCGACAAGCTTTATTTACTCCTCTCTCTCTCTCTCTGTTTATCTTGCACACACACACACACGTGTGCGCGTGCTCTATCTGTACTTATCTGACGAGTGAGTATTTAATTTTCCTTCCTGCTGGTTATTTTTTCTATTGTAAAATCTGTTTATATGAGTGTGGGTTAAGCAGTTCTATACACCGAGAAAGAGAGAGAAGGGGATAGTATATATGTAATATTACATATATTCCAGAGTAGATTATCCTTAAAGCAGACAAAAAGAAAATATAAAGTACGTGGTTTCGATAAGTTCTTTCTCTTTTTTCAAAACTTTCCTTTGTATCTTTCTCGCTTCTCGTGTTCTCTTCTCTTCTAAGACATGATGATGTTGATTGGATAGTTTGGTGGGTTGTTATTCCTAGTGTTGTTGTCGTCGTCGTTCTTCTTGTTAATGTATGAGTCTGAGGATGCATCTTTCTTTTTAAGAAATTAAAGAAATTGTATAATTGTATCTATTATGATTACAACTATTTAATGTTCATTTCAATAAATAAATAAATAAATAACTACTGTAAACCAATATAAATACAATAAAATCCTATGAAAATTGTAATTGCTTTTGTACTTTCTCTATATAGCAAAAATATTCATTCATAAAACGAAACACCGATGTTGGCATTCCTATATCTTTTCTGATGAAAGAGCTTCTCTTGAAAGGCACAATGAATGAATGCCCACTCTTTATTTAATAAGGAACTATATAGACAAATCGACGATGTGGGAATACGGTCATCACTAGGACCTGTTCTAGCTGATATTTTCCTTGCGAAACTAGAAAATGGATATCCTTTGGAGGATGTTATTAATGAACTCGAATTCTATTGTCGGTATATAGATGATACATTTTTGATTATGAAAAATGAGGATGAAGCAATGAACATCCTGGATATATTTAACGAGGTTCATCCTGCAATACATTTTACTATTGAGAAAGAAAAAGACGTATAGTATTTCATTTTTAGACGTCCTTATGACCAGAAAAAAGGATGGCACAATAAGAAGAAGTGTATATAGAAAACCTACATCAACGGGTCAGTATACTCATTTTCTCAGCTTCGTGCCCTTTAAATACAAACGCAATCTGATAAAGTGCTTGGTTCACAGAGCAAGAGCAATTTGCTCGGATGAATATCTTGATGAGGGACTTAATAATATTAAAAGGTTGATAAGTGAAAATGGTTATCCAGAAAAGTTTATTGATAAGAATATGAATCTAAAATCAAAGCAGCCCAAAGTACCAACAGTTCCCAAAAAGGCCTTGTTCTAACAAATGCAGTTCTTTGCGGACAACATCAGCGAGATACTAACACAGCGCCTAAGAAATGCGGTAAAAAGAGTATTCCCTGCTGCTGAATTACGCTGAAGCTTCAAAACCACTCCTCTTTTACTTTCGGGAGTAAACTACTTAATTTCGCCTCTTCAATGTGTATCTACCAATTTAACTTCTCCTGTGGAGTGAGCCAGTTACATAGGTCGTACAATTAGGCGTGTTTCTCGTCGAATTTCCGAACATCACCCTGCGTGGTTAAGCAAAGGACAGACGAAATCTATTCGTAGCGCTATTCTTTCTCATCTTGTGGATACAGGACACAAGATTGACGTTAACCATGCTTTCAGGGGTCATCTACCGCATACCTACGAATCTCAGTTTTACCTTAAGAGGTCGACTACTAAATATTGTTGAGGCTGTGGGGATCCATATATTAACAAGCCTAATTTGTGCGTCCAAAAGAAGCTAGTTCAGACATTGTCCTCACCTTGGCCATCTAGGTTTGAATGATCCTGAGTTTTTATGAAATTTTCCTAATTTTAGTTGATATTCTATTCGCTACTATATCTTTATTATCATTATAATTTATGCATCTTTAATCAACTGTAATTCCATTGATCTTACCTAACAAATTGATATTATTTATAAAACACTAATATTGTTATTGGCTACTAATCTAGAATATTCTACGTATATAAACATTTTTCGACGTTAATCTGTGGGTGGTGTTCAAACGCATTATATTCATGTATTATTATTTCATTTCATTCCAAATGAAACATAGGCCTTTAATAGTGTATTTCCATTTCATCGTGTTCTTTGCAGTCCTTTTTAGGTCTGAATTCATGATAACCCATAAACTTTCATCTTCTTCATATAACTCTCAAACCAACGCCCAAATCGTTGTCTCCCATTCAGGTTTCCAATTCACAGTTTACCTGGTACCTGGTATTACTCCAATGGGCCTCTTTAGCGTAGTTTCGAGTCATATGCGTTTCCTTCGACGTATATTAGGGTTCTTCGCTGGTTCATTGCACTACCCGTGTTCCTTATTGCTAATCCTCTTTGGTCATTTGATATTCTTTCTTTTTTCCTTCACGTTCCCCAGTGGAACATAGGGCTCCAAGCTATTGGCTTGAAGTTTCTGTAGCAGTGTTTTATTTTACAGGGTGGGGTTGCTAGCCTCATGCCCAACCTTTTCTCTTTGCCAGAATTATTTCTGACTTAGCAAGGTGTAGGAGTGCGGCGTCAGTGGCCGGGGATCGAACCTCGGACCATGTGCATGGTTGGTATTCAGTATCGAACAAAGGTTGCTGTTAATAAAAGTTTACTTGCAACCTATTAGTGATGCTTCAAGTCTCAACCATGTAAAACACTGATTTGACATCAGTGGTGAAAATCCGAATGTCGTTCCTTATGTTGATTGCAACAGATTTCCACACTGACTTGAGATTAGTGAAGGCGAGTCTTGCTTTTCCAGTCCTGGGTGGCTTTGATATCAACCTCACCTGTGACACCCGTAGTTGGAACAATGCTGAACAAATAAATGGTCAATGTGGGATCATTTAAATTTCTTCCATTTCTAGTGATTGGTACTTTTTGTTGATGATCAGTGGGTGTTTTCATCACTTCTGTCATCTCAATGTTCATACTTGAAACCTTGTCTTCTCTGCGCTTCTCTTCTGCAAACTTGAAAAATAAAGTCTGGGTTAGTTGTTGAAGAAGTTACACTGTAGCATTACTAAATCCACATATTGTGTTGTGCCAGGACTTTCTGTTAATATGGCTTCATTAGTAGGTTGAAATTAACAGGAGATTAACAAAGTGTATACTAACCACATACGCGATGGTGTTGTGGCATAATTCAACACTAGGTGACTGTTTAATTTATATTATTCACGCATATCTCTTGTTTAGTGAAGTCTGATGTCTTATAGGCGTAATTTTCGCAGTTTTCAAGTAATGTTTACATAAACATTTCTTTGTTAAAACAATATAAAGCCATTATTACCTATTTCGATTCTCTATGACGCAGCGAGCTACAGTGGAGTGGATATTCTTTCAGGTCCTGCCATGCCATAAAGATTGTTTGGATACTGATGATTAGACTAGATAATAGTAACTACCTTTGTGTACGTTGTTAATATTACGTTGGGCATCTGTGGGCAAAGTTGTACCGCAAGTGAATAGAGGTGTAACAATGGTAAGATGTTCCCTTCAGGTGACCAGCATGCTTCCTCTCCGTTCTGGAGAGACCGGATTTAGAAATAGTCGACTCCAAAAATCGTACATCCCAACTTAACTTGCGACAGTCCATAGTTGGCGGTAGGATCTTGATACGGATGCAAGTGAAAAAACCAATTCAATTCTGAATGAATTGCTCATTTCGACTAGTTATCAACAGAGAGTTCGAATGATATCTTCATATATATCTTAATGATGAAATGTAATAATGATTCAAATGTTGCACATCTACTTGGAGTTGGCAATCATGTATTAATTTGAGAAAGTTACATGGTGATTAGAGTGCCACTTACCAATCACCACTACTTAACTGTACTAATTTACCACCAATGCAAAGACTTTTCTTAGGCAGTCCTCTTGGTTACTACGTCTCATTTTCGTCTCATATTAGAAGTATACCTATTTCTTGAGTTATTCATCTCTTGTCTGAAGTGCCTTCCAACTGCATATTACATAGGATGGTGGTGTTGTAATCATTCTAACAGTTACCCTTTATATCCTCCCTCCTTTTTATCATACACTTGTATGTGATACGAAAAACTAGTCAAAACTTCTGATCTGTCATGAACAATCGATCACAGGGTTTGTTTTATGGTAGACAAATGTGTGTGATAATTTCATTCTCAACTGTAGAACAGCACATTTAGTTTATAATGTCATGATATTAATAAAATTATATGATAGCTCTATTCTGCACAAAAGGTTGACACATAACAAATTCTTAGCGTACTTTTTTGCATCATATTTTCTCTTCGATCAGGATCTTCAAATAAAATAAAACGACCTCAAGTACCTCATTTGTGACACATTGCTGAAGAAGAAAGCAATCCCTTAATGATATTTTTCTTTCATCTATGAGAAATTAGCAGAAGTAGGTTGAAAGTCGATTAAGAATGTGCCTGAGTACATCTGGCGATCCACATGAATAGAACTGAATGGCTGAAACAAAGAGAAGTAGAGAAAATTTGATGCATGGTATTGAATGAAAGAAAATTCAAGTATTCCAGTGATTCAAGCAGGTGATTGTGTCAATTTTGATTGTTGTATAACTAAAGGAATCAATAATTCTCTATGTCTGGCTGAAAAGGTTTTAAGGCAAATGAGAAGAATAAGTTATGCAAGAGACATTCCTAAGACCTCTATATTTAGCTAAGAAAGCTTTTCTTATGAGCCTATAGGTTGTAAAGTGTTAAAATGTTTCATGTGAACTTGCTGTATTCTTGAATTGAATTTTTGATTTTCCCGTCGATTGTTTGGACCGAAGTGCTCGGTCTCAGGTTGACATGTCGGTTTCTTGTGCAGATGCTTCGACGATGTCTGGGCATTTAATTAGTACACAATTGGTGGATGGTGGCTAGCAGTGGAATCCAGGATGCGCATTTCGTCCTATTTGGGACTCGTCAGCTGGATGTACCTGCATTTCTCAGTGAGTGATGACGTTCCCACCGAAGCTCGAACCCAGTACCCATAGTTTCAAACGCCAAAGCGTTATCCACTAGACCACTTGGGCCACGAGAGCCACCTCTTGTGCAACGGGTCATATTAATTATTGAATTGAATTTTTGATTTTCCCACGTCATCACTCACTGAGAAATGCAGGTACATCCAGATGACGAGTCCCAAATAGGACGAAATGCGCATCCTGGATTCCACTGCTAGCCACCATCCACCAATTGCTGTATTCTAATGATAAAGTGACTAGATAACGTAATATGTACGAGAACAGATTGACTACGATTATGATATATATGTATATGATACCTTTTGAAGTAAGGACAACTGCGACCCACTATCATGCATTTATGAGACAACAGAATGTTGGTAGTAAGGCAGGCGACCTCAACTTAGACTCTTATAGTGGGAAATACAAATAAATATTGAGGTAATCGTATTAAGGCGAATATGAGGTAGAATTTATACTCGAAACATTATACAGTTAATGATATATTATCAAATAAAATTAACTAATATAGAAAACTTACTGATAAACGTTAAACACTGCAGTGACACTAGTCACCTCTATTTACTCACTCTAAA